AATTTTTATAATTTTTTATATAAATTAATTATAAAATTTATATTTATTATATTTTTAATAACAAAAACCTATTAATATATCATGAGTTATATGTTTTGACATTTCTAGGCTCGAACCTCCATCCTCATTTTGAGCAAAAGACAACACACCACTGGAACTCTCACAAGATAATTGTCAAACGTGGCACAACATTAGATTTAGTGATATCTAATTGAATGGGTGATTCTAACAATTTAACTGATTGAATTAATCAAACCAAGATTCACAAAGTCAAAATAATTTGACCTCCAAGTCGGTTTTCAAAACATCGTTTCCTGCTTTGTTATTTTTCCAATGTAGGTTCTCACTTAACACTAGCTGCCGTGCCCTGTACGTCACCTCATCTTTTGCCTCTTACTAGGGGTGAGTATGCTCATAGGAATGGGTCAGGTACTTATCTATACTTGACTTCAACAGTGATAAGTACAAGATTTCAATACTCAATACTTACCTAGGTGTTGAGAATTTATATCCGTTACACAATTTATTGAATATAGATATATCCATAGGTATACTTATATATTTATTAAATTTTATATTAAAATTACATAAGTTAATATATAACTATAAGTTCAGACATATAATACAAGTTTATATATAAAACAAAATACATGTGTATATACATTTACATATATATAAGTTTATATATACAAGTTTATATATACAATAATAAAAGAAATACAAACAAAATTCACATAATTTTCTTTTAGTTGAATCTTCATTGTCAGAAGAAAGAAAAAAACATAAACATTTTAATTTCATAACATTATATTACAAATTAAACACATAAAATTAGAATATAATCATTATATTATAAATTCTTTTATAGTTAAGTAATTTTTGTATAAAGTGTAAATTGAAATGATATTCTTATAATTAATTAATAAAGCATTATAAATATAGAATCATGTATATAAGTTGAGTATATAAGTCAAGTATACATGTCAGACATGTAGGTCAGGTATATGGGTCAGATATATAAGTTAGGTATATGAATTAGATATACTGATCAAATATATGAGTTAGGTATATAGGTCAGATATGCAAGTATTGACTTTCATACCCAGTACTTACCCGACACTTAATAGATATGCATTTTTCATACATAATATTTAATTATATCTTCACATATATAAGTAAAATACTTACCCAAATAAATCAAAAATCTACATATATCAAATATACCCGTATTCGATGCTCAGCCTTACCTCCTACTCTCTCAAGTCGGCCCGTGAATTGTCCATAAGGCCTCTCATCTCCCTCAAGTCTCAAAACACCGGCAAGCTTGTCAAATAACAAAGGTATTTACTATTCTCTTTTCTTTTAGAGGGGAAACATTATCGAATAACCGTGTCCATGAGGCTAGTTAATTTGTTATTTTTGAATTAATTTTAACAATATTACTTCTTCTTCTTTTTTTATAATAACAATATTAGCTTTTAAATTTTTTGATTGATTCTTGTCCTTGTTATTTTGCCTACCAGCCAACCTCATTCCCGATGGGTGAAGGGTTTACTTTATGTTTCTTCCTCTGTTACTTGCCATTGTTTTGCGTGAATTAAATGTGATGTTTTCCTTTTGTTATTCATTCTTTCAGATTGTGAAAATTCCCTCCTCATACCATGAACAAAAGTAATCATAGAAACACAGATTGACAGGCTAGTTAGTTGCTTGAAGGTGTAATTGACAGGCTATTGAGTTGCTTGAAGGTGTAATCTTGCACGTTCTGTCTCTAATGGACACCAGGTATACCGTCCAGACAAGCCTATCCTCCAAGAGATGAGCTGATCTCAGGACTTATCTACCTAGCCTCTATTTCGACAGAAGATCATTCCGGTTGATCACCTATGAAAATTGTCTCTCACTTCTTCTTTTTTTTTTTTTTGGTTTTCGGTTCGGTATCCGGAGCTTTGCCTCAACTAATCCGGATCGACCCGTGTCGCGTACCTGGAGATGGTGGATGAGTCTCCCAACGAAGGCTGCTGCGTTCACAAGGTCTCGAACTCGAGACCTTGATTAAGCCGGAGCAAACCGCTTACCACTTGATCCAACCCTTCGTTGGTTCTCACTTCTTATTATATGGGAATGACTGCTGTTTGAGACAATAACCCAACACCTTAAATTAGGCTCGTAAGGTCTCAGAAGGCCCAATTCTTTAAGCTCTGACCAAAGGTTCAATTCACAGAGGTATGACATTTGACCCAACAGGATTTCACCATCTGTATAGCATCCCATGGTTCATCGACTATAAATACCCCTCAACATATACACAGTTTAAAGATTAGGCATGACGAGTGTTATCATTCTCATATCATCACGGAAGCTATAAATTATTCTGCGGGGCATAACGTCCAAGAAATTGACACAGATAATTTGGATTGCCTAATACCTAGCTTACTCTCTTCTTAATCTCTTAGAACTCTTAAGATCAGAGACAGTAATGATATGCTTTGTAACATTTTTCAGGTGTCCATTATTTGCATCACTTGTTGATGCAGATGATGGCAATCCAGGAGGGGTGAATTGAGCTTTTAAAAACTTTATGTATTTTTGAAAAATAAAGCAATAAACAAGCATAAGAAATTTGCAAGTTTCTAAAAATTCAAGAAAAGAAATTCCAAAATTTAAAAGATAGAGTAAGAGAGATCAAAAGTTTTGATTTATCTTAGTTTGTCACCCTTTTTGGTGCCTACATCTAGTCCTTGAGTTTTTTATACTCTAAATTGAATCCATTAACACTAGCTTCAATGGGTACTAATAGAACTTATTACAATAGCTTATTTGTGCTATCAACCATTCAATCCCTTTGTTACAAATCTCTCAACTTTTCTTGTATCTCAAGGATGAATTATTAGATCTAACAAAGTTTTCTTCAATTCCTCTCTTACTTATTACAATAAAAGAGAACAAGATAAGTCTAAAAAATAATTGATTTCTCAAAGAAAGAGGATGAAAGTTTAATCTCTTTCAGTTTTTCAAGTTGAATGCTCTTCTTATGCTTCTAGATTTGTTTTTATGCTCTAAGTTTTTTGAATCAATGGTTTATACCAGTTGGAGCTCAATTAGACAGAATCCATTTCAATTTTGACAAACTGTTCAAGATTTCTACATCCAGAGGTTGGAACCTACCTCTAGAGGTTGGACCCTGTATTGTGTTCTTCGTAACATAGATGGCTTCATGGTTCTACACCTTGAAATGAGGGATTGGAACCTAAAACATCACAAGCAACTTACAAGAGTCAAATGCATTAGGGGCTCTGACACCTAGTTTTAAGAGTTGGAACCTTTTACGAAAAAGACAATTTCTATTTTTGTTTATCACCTTAAAAGAAAACATATTGAATAGGAAATTGTACAACCAAGTTGGTTTTTATATAAAAAGAAAGCATATTTGAAGAAATATGGAAATCTAATCAAAATTATTAGAAACAAACGAAGTGTATATTTCCTTCACTTTTGGTTTTAAATCCATCAAAATCAAGAATAACATCAATCACTATTTTACATCTAAAATATATCTCTTTTGTTCTTGAGAATCATTCTCTTGATCTATTTTCGCATTGTGTGAATCTTGAGTAATTGATGTTTTTTAAATGTTAAAATTCATGGTGTAGGAGACAATAATCATCTGTGTTATAACATTTTTAGATGTCTAATGTTTGCATCACTCACTAACCTGCATCTGAATCTCATTTGCTATTGAAAATCATTCCATTGATTTATTCTCGTATTATGTGAATTCTGAGAAATTGCATTCTTTAAATGTAAAATTCATGGTGTAGGAGAAGTTCAAATTTCTTATCCATGCCTGGTGAACTTGAAATTGTTTTATCTGACAAAGGCCACCTTTTTCTTAACAAGGTGAACCTTCGAATGGCAACAGAGAGAGTTTTTCTTGTTTGAAGTATTGAGGAAGATCGTTTCAGTTCATTTCTGAACAATTGCTATTTGAAGGTCATTAGGAACATCCTTCCCAATCTAAAGCTGGAATTCGATTGCTCCAAGGTTTGTGTATTTTTCATGCAATCTTTCTCTTACTGCAATTAGTTTTCTGCAAGGTAATTGTGAGGGCAACCAACCACTTCCAACCAGTCAAACATGATTCCCATTCAGATCACAAGTCAACCATGGTCTCTTACAAATGACATCACTTCTGGTATGGATTTAAATGCCCTGACATTAAAGTTAATGTTCCTCCATGACCCTTCATATAGCTACAATACTTTAGAGAGGTTTAAGGCAACCAAAGGGATTGTGAAAAGTCACCTCTGGAGACTATAAATACCCCCTCAATTACCACATTCAAAAAACATTCATTATACCTTTTTTTCTCTTAGCTGACTAGACTACCCCTACTAAATTCCTAACCCCTAAGTATTGATTTGGGTATCAGAGTGTTATGTCGAGAGACATTCAGGTCTTGTAGGCAATCTGATCAGAGTGGACGTCCATAACTGGTGTGGAAGGTTAATGAGAGAGCAGGGCTGATTCGTGCAATTATAGTAATACGTATGTCTTATGCATTCTTTTGTCTTTATATATATCATGTTTGTATTCCCATGTCTGGTTGATCTCCTTGTCTACTTTGAACTCGAGTGAGAATTCTAACCTATTCCCTTCCTTCAACTTTAATAAACTTAATTTTTAAGTCCGGTATTCAAATTTAGTTGTACACTTTTATTTTAAAATATTATTTAATGTATTTATTTTTATTTTTAAAGAATAATTACAATAAATATTAAATAAAAAAATTTATTTAAATGATGATTAATTAAGGATAATAATAAAATTTTATCAATTAATTATCACATTCTTATTATTGAAAAAAAAAAAGAAGAAAAAACCCAGATCTACTTAAGGAAAAGAATAATTAATCGACCCCAACTTAATTCTGGGCTTACAAAGGGATTACTTACACGTGCCTTAGCTGATTTTTGGTCTAATTTCTAGTAAAAAATTAAAGGAAAATTAGTCAGTCTAAGTGATTATGAAAAATTAGATAGTTAAAGTGATTATGAAGTTATTAGATTCCTATTTACATTATAATCTGATTTTTCTTTCGTTGGAATCCTTTTAGGATGACGGTTTGACGCCATTAAACTCTCATCCCCTTTTCCTCTAAATTCGCGCTTCTCTTATTTTCCAGTTTCCACTATATATTCCTATCTACTCCTCTTTCCCAGAGTCCAAACAAGAACTCCTCTTACGTTCCAAATTCTTTACGATGTCTAGACATGATAGTTTTCCCTCGCCAAATTGAAACATAGCGGGTTCTTTGACTTCTTTCCCTGGAATAAAGAGAACCAAAATCGTCGGAAGATCAGATGGATCGGCTAAGCCAGTTACCGGATAGTGTGATCCAACACATTCTGTCCCTAACAGACGCAGAATCAGTGGTACAGACCTGCATCCTGTCTAAGAGATGGACCAATATTTGGAGACACGTCCATACTTTAAATCTTTTTAGCATCCCTTTCAAATCACTCTGTGACTTCAGACGTTTTATTGCGCATGCCTTGCGCCATTGCGAGACCTCTTCTGATGTTCTCGCGATCAGCATGGAGCTTGGCCTTAGTGTCTGTATGTGCTACTTGGACTGTTCCCTTCTTGATATGGAACCCTAATTCATTGAATTTGTCTTCACTCAAGACGTTGCATCTCTGCAGACTCAAAATAAGCAACAAAAATCACTGCTGTGATCTCTTCTCAGCCTGTGTCGATTTGGAGGATTTGGTTTTGGATCAACTAAACGTAAAGATACTGAATATCTTTACCATATCTGCTCCTTGCTTTGCCAATTTGACAATTTCATATCTCACATTTAACACTCACGAGAATCAATCACATCGATGACGTTGGACAGACGAAGGTTGGAATGTCGTAATTGATGCACCAAGGCTTACTACCTTCAAACTTGAAAACTTGGAGCCATTGTTGCTGTCCATCAACAATTCTCCTCTTCTTGACAAGGTGATTGTTAGCGTGCCGCATCTTATCTTCAAGGCTGAAGGGAAAAATGGAGAATTATTTTTGCTTGTGACCAACATGTTATGGGAGTTCAGTAATGCGATGTCACTTGCCGTGTCATCAGATATAATAAAGGTATGTATAGATGTTAAAAAGCTAGTTCTGCGATAAGTATATATAAGCTGTTCTTCTGTTGTCTAACTGGTTTGGTTTTTTTTCATCATCTTTAACGTTTCCAGACTCTGTCGAAATATCCATCTTCACTAGAAGACCAGCCGAGCATTTTGTATTTTGCAGTCCTTGAAAGTGAAGGGATACAAACCTACTTTTGCTTTACGTACCACTGATGAAGTTCTTCGATTTAAGCGCTCGACAAGTGAAGTTCACTGACAATCAAAGGTATTTTTGCATCTGAATGCTCACTTTCTATGTTGTTTTTGGTTCCTTAACTAAATGTGGTTTCAATGACTCTTGACATTAGATCTCATGCAACCATGAGCACAAGAATATATTGAATCTGAACTACTGGATAGTTGACTTTGATTTCTTGAACTCTAGGTCTTATGATGTAGACAAAAATATGAGTCCATGCGGAATTTTATTTTATTTTTATTCCAATTACTTAATTTTAGCAAATGAAATTAATTGCTTTTGGGGTTTTTTAAATGAAATTAATCCTTAGAAATACTTGAAAAAGGTAGCAGAAACATGCAACTCACAAAAACAAAGAGGCCTAAAGAACAGCGCAAGCCTAATTTATCAGTCACAAGAACAAGTTGGTATATGCTCCAACAAAACAAAAGGAGACGGCACAGAATGTCCTTTTTATGATTCTGAAGAAGCATATGCTGCCTCCAACAAAATAAAGGGTCTCTGCTTTAATAACCTTCTATGTTTCCAAGGGGACAAGCATTGCCTTCCCTGTGACATGAGTAAGCTCAATCTCTTCCAACTGATTCAATATAGACCTGCAATTGGAAATAAACACACTTAGACCATGGAAGACTATGGAATGGGGAAGCAGAACTAATCAAAAGAATGAAAGCATAAGATGAATCGGTTTTCTATTAGACATCAAGTAATCCTCTATTAACAGTAACAGAAAGGCGTCGGGCTGTTGGCATGACCAAATTTTTTGGATAAGGTCAACAATCCAATCACCAGCATGATTTCTGAACAGACCTGCAGCTCCCACTCAACCTGAGTTTAACCTTTTGCCAACATCAGTGTTGAGTTTCAGGAAACCAGGAGTGCCCCACCAAAATTAATCAATGCTGCAAAGAGGATGAAGAACTAGGGAAAACAGTCTAGAAAAATGGCAATATAAAAACAACGTTGTCTATGGTGAAAGAAGAAAAAAAATTCTGGTTTCTCAGAAGCCAGATTGCCAAGACGATGAAAGGGAAACATAGACTTGACCTCAAGGGAAATATAAGAGTGCTACAGGCCAACAGCCACTGTATCTGCGAGCCACAATCTGTGTTTGGCAGGAAAATGTTCAAAAAGGTTCGTATTTCTAGCTTTCTTGGTCATTTAATGCTAAAAGATTTATCTTTCAGATCAATGAAATACTTCAATTCAATGCAATGGCAGAAATAGCTTAGCAGGATTCTGTACAGGTCCACAGTTAATTCACTGGCTAACAATTCTTTTTTTCCATTTTTTTTTTTTTGCCCAGCGAACATAAGATTGTCTTACAGTTCAAGAATGTGGTTTCCTGAGAGACAGGAACTAAACATTCTAATTCTAGTCTCCCAAATGGGGTATATACTGCATTTAGCCATTACCTTATAACAGGATCGTCAGGTCCCAACTTCCAAGAAGTCCTTGGTTCACCAGTCCTAGTCTTGAGCTGCCAAATCACCTTCTTGAGATGGCAGACATGCGATGAGAAACAATAGTATGCCTCCATGATAAACTTTTTGGAACCAGAACTGCAACATGTCAACTAGTTAGAAACAATGCCACATCTGGATCATGTTTATTAAGTAGGACTCAAAATCATTTAGCATCCAAGATCCACATGATAAAAAATAAACAAAAATGAAAAGAGAGGAAAAAACCCCAAAACTTTTTTGAATTTATTTGGACTAGAAATTACTAATTACCATTGGAACTTCCATGGAAACAACACTTTTCCTTCCAGACTATATATTTCAATAGTTGAATAGCCATTGTGTTCCACTACTATCACCTGGAATCATAACATCAAAGAGTCAATCAATGATTTCTCTTTAGCTTTGAAGGAGGGTGGACAATGATCAAACATTGAGTATCCCAGAAATCAAAGTATTCACAGGAAAACAATCTCTGTATTAGAGTATGCTTGAAATTGCATAAAATAATTGCATCTATGCATATACCTTCCACCCACACAACTGCATCATGAATGATTTAGCACTTGGGATGATATTCTGGATGGCTTTCCAGTACAAGTTTTCCAGATACAACTTAAGTATCTCCATATCATAAGGGAAAACTCCATTGTAGGCTATATAAAATCCCACCCTCTCAAGAACATGGCATTCACTGATAAAAATTTTTGTAGGATTAAGAAATCGAACCCCATAATGAAACACAGAAAGTCTTGGTGTAGAAATCACAAATTCAAGATCTTCTGCCTGCACATTCCAAATATTAAGCTTTGCCAGATGAGGAGCAGATATTTTGACAACCTTCCCGACATTCAAGCAGTTACAATCAGTTATTGATAATTCCTCAAGATTCCGGCAGCTAGAAAAGAGATCAATAGAGTCACTATTTTCAAATAATAGAGAGACATACTTAAGATGTATTGTAACTAGTGATGCAGTCTCTAAAGAGTGGAAACAGATTACTGCTGGCGTAATGATGGAAATTTCCTGAATACCATGCAGCATTGCATAGCCTATGACTCTCTTGATAAAAGATTTATCTGTTGATTCACTATAGAACCACAAACTCTGCAGAGTGCAGCCATCATCCCTTTGAGATAGGACAAAACGCACAAATTTTTTAAAGGAGTCCAAAGTCTTGAACGATTGGCTATCAAAATGAAGTTTGGGCAGACAGGTCCAGAGATGGCTCCATCTTTTGGATAAAATGCTCGTCTTGACGGCCTCTTTGGTATCAATTAAAGTCAGAATGCATAAGATCAAGTTTTCCGGCAAATTGCTCAGTCTATCAATCTTATTTTTCTCAAAAGTGGTGCGCTTCTCCATGCTCTCCAAAATAAAGGTTCTCTGAACACAAGAAAGCTCCTTTCCTGTTTAAATACCCAATATAATTTAAGACTCCAAAAACTATCAAGAGAGAAACATAAATTAATATTTTCAAAGAAAAAATAGATCTCTATTATTTCTCTATTTATTTTGGCCATCAGTTTTCCATATCACTGTGGTTTTTTATGTTCTTCCTGCACTAAATAACTAAAAATCTTGATTATATTTTACAAAGAAGAAAGAACATTGTCATTATCATTTATAATGATAATAGAAAGAAAAATACTTTATTCAACTTATACGACCCTGGGGAAGCCACATGTAGCTAATTCAACAATTTAATCATGATTAGTAGTGAGATCTGCCATTGAGAATGTTAATCAAACAATTGAACCATAAGAGAAGATAGCTCACACTTACAACTTCAAATTTGAATTTCAAACAAATTAAGAGCATAGTGAACCCCTGTTGATTACTAATGATGCTAAAACATTCTGCTAAATTTCAAAAATCCATAAATTGAATTGAATATTAACATTCCTATTTTGAAAAAAATGAAAGAAATAAGGAATAAGGAAAAAAGATAAATGATGGCTAAATCCCTTCTAAAGTGCCTCTTTTTGGATGAAGGATTGGTTTTTAACAACTGCCACATCAAAATCCACTTAGAACACAATTCAAACAAAACCAACAAAGAAAAGTAAAAATAAAAAATTAAATCAATTAAAATTGCAGATTAAAAAGAAATATAAGCATAGGAGTTAGTAGTCTGTAATTGTTTAACCTGAAAAGATTGAAGATAAATATTTAAGTGAAATATGAACAAGAAAAGAACTTGATTTCTCATCATCCAAAGCCTCCACTCAATATAATGTGATAATGTTCCTGTTACTTCTAAAATGTGTTCATTGCACATGATATTTTTCATATTATTACATATCAAAATATCCATCAGTATCCATCAGAGTCAGAGCCAAACTGGACTGGCTGGTTCAACCAAAGACTCAATAAGCTAATCCCTTAATCAATTTGCATTTGATTTGACCAATATTAACTCAACTAAATTGGCAAGTCCTTCAAAATAACCAATGACCAAGATTGTTGAGAGTACCACTTATGGGAACAAACCTTTTCATTATGAATAAAACAATAAGATTTTCATCTTAACCAAGAAACACCTTACAAATCTGACAGTCTTGCTGTCAAAATCAATCTCCAATAAGAAACAAGATATCAAACAAAACTTTTTTTTTTTTTTTTATCAGCATTAATAAACGCTAACTAGAAACCAACTTTCCATTCCAGATGAAAAAAAAAAAATATCCTTAATCATAATTTGTAATCTGATTTTT